CAAAAAAAGCCCGGTATAGGTAGGGTTAATCACCGTCGTCAGTCTTATTGGCGTTCAGAGGTCATGAAAGAATGAAGGTTTTTACCGTAGAATTTCTCCCTTATGTAAGGTAAAATTCACGGTGATGTGTTTATCTATGTCTTAGAACAGGCTGATTGCGAAACTCCGGATTCTCTATAAAGTCACTTCTGACTCACTCTAGCATGATTTGAAACACAGGCGATCATTTTTCCCGTGTGAGAACTGGGTCTAGCCCTTGGCAGGGATAAATGATGTTTTGCAAGTGAATTTAATCTCTTAGCAGATCCTAGGGTAGCTAAAATTCCTACCAGCTTAGTTTACAGAGCGGGAAGAAAACCTGACCCAAAAAAAGAATTTAGATGTGATAAAACGGGGAAAAGACGCCCACATCAAGCCGGTTCCTATTCTAGATAGCTGTAGCTGTAACTGCTCTCTCGATCCACCCGGTCTATGGCATCCACAGAGTCGCGCCCTCCCACTGGGGAAGGGACAGGGAAACACGAACTTGGGGACAGTGGGGGGTGGGGGGGTGGGTAGGAGGGGCGGTAGTGGTCTTGTATGGCCAAGGCTTGAGTGTTGCATTGACTTTTAGCCATGTTAAAACATGGTTTTTAACATGGACTCAGTGTTGCATAAACGAAACATAAAAACGTGCATCACAAAAATACGCACAAAATGTGCATAGTTTTCAACACTCTGTCTTGTCGTCTTTCATAGCATACTTCTCGTTCCCGAGAACCGCTCGACCGGAAACCGGTTTGGGATGTGACCATAGCATGAGGAAGCTACCCGCTGAGAGATATACGCATGGTTTCATCTGTCCTAGTTCTGAGTCCCTCTGCGGTTTTCACCAGCCTTTGTAGCCTGGATCTCCAAGCAGATCATACGGTGGTAGCCCAAGATAATGGATACTGCCATTGCCACGGTATGATCTGATTGGAGATTTAATATGGATGCTATTCCTTTTGTAACGGAACTCCCCAAGTGCAAGGGACCCCGAACCAGCCTGTAACTAGTGTAAGGCGTTACAAAACGGATGGCGACAAGGCCACTTTAATATCATGAAACGTCACTTGATTCCGTGAGTCGCTCAATCACTATGAAAGTGCAAGAGATAAACCGTCCAAGTTAGTGTCACTCTGGGGTCGCAGGGTAGGGATAAGTGAGGTGAGCCAAAGCGTGATGAAGGGTGTATGGGAGATTTCAAGCAAAGAAAATTATAATCATAGCACGGGTCATCCAAAGCGTTTCAGGGCCTTTCAGTAGTTGGATAGAGAAGTGTCCATCTAAGCCTTTGGTGGCATAGTCACACAAAGCCTGATTAAATCGTTTCTGTATCTGAATCTGTACAGCCAGTATAACCGCCTTTCGGCGTAACACACCAGCTGGACACACCAGTTTTACGGCCCGGGGAGAGGCCGAGTAAAGCCACGGACAACATAATGGCATTACACTACTCTCCAAACAGGGTAACTTCCCCATCAACTTCTGCTTGAAGAGTAGAATTACACATATGTCAAACTCTCCACTGCTGGACGTCACAACTAGTAAGTACCTAATACCAGTCCAGAAGAGAACAAGAAATAGTCATGCCTTGATGTACCAGAGTTATGTATCAACCAAGGATTGAGGTGTTCAAGAATTCATTCTTTCCTAGAACTATCGCAGAGTGGAACTCAATGTCACCAAGTATACAGTGGGGGCATTATCATTAGATAGCTTTAAACAATTAGTCTTGAGCTAGAAGTTCATGGGTTAGGTGTAACAAGTCGATCGGTGTAATATAGTCAGCTGCCGCCGCGCCGCGTGCCTGAGAAGCTGGTGTGTTACGCCGAAAGGCGGTTATACCGGCTATACATGTACAGCAAATACAGCATGATCCAGGTCCCCTCTAGAAAATTACATGTTTGATACACAGAGAAAAGATGGAAACCAGATGACCCATTTTGTCGCCGCCTCTCAACAAGAGACACAAGAGGAAGGCACCGCGGAGCTCCCAATGCCGCTATCTCACATGTAATCTAATACTAATTTCCAAGCAGATATTTGGGTGGCTGGAATACAGTTTCAAACTTTCCAAGCAGTATCCAATTTATCAGCTCTCCCCCACAGGAAGACGAATTCAACTACTACAATGTCCTGTGGGAGGCAGTTCCAGAGCTGTACTGTGGCCGGTAGGAATGTTCTTCTGTGTGATATTGTGGATGACTTAACAGGTTCCAGAGCGTTGCTGTGTTGCGATCTTGACAGGCGGGTTTCACGGCGGTGTACGTATGGGTTCGGGAGTAAGCTGTTGAGTGGAGCTGGGGCATCCTGGTTGTACATGCGGTGCAGGAGAGTTAGGGCCCCAACCTGCCGGCGCTGTTTCTGGGGTTGGATCTCATTTCTGTCCAACTTGGCCTGTGGGAGATTTATGATCCGTGTAGCCCTCCTTTGTATGGCGTCAAGCAATTCCAGTGAAGTGTCGCTTGCTCCCATCCAGACTGATGTTGACGCGTATTCCATACTGGATCGCACCATGCTCTTGTAGATGGTGGCTCTCTGTTGTGGGGATAAGTAAGGGGCGACCCTGCGCAGTAGTCCCAGGCGTTTTCCTGCGTCCGTTGCCATTTGCTTTATATGGTGTGTCCAAGTCAATTCCTTACGACTTGTTACTCCTAGCAGTTCAGATTCATCCACTTCTGCGAGGGGAGTATCCATAAAGCTGAGTTCGGGGTGGTTGCCGACGGCGTCCCTCAGGTTACTGACGGCCAGACATTTGCATAATGTGGCCCCGAAGAGAACGTTCCAGCTTTCAGCCCAGTTCTGGATTTTTTGCAAATCTGTGTTTAGCGACAGTGCTGCCCTGGCTCTTTCTCGTCTTTCTTTTATAATGCTCATGACCGATGAGTCGCCGGCGTACAGGATTGCCGTGTTGGTCAGCCTTTAAGTGAGGTCGTCGATGTGAATGAGAAAGAGTAAGGGGCCAAGGATGGAGCTTTGGGGTACTCCCGCGTTGGTGAGGTTTTCCCACCGACTGTGACTCTCAGTTCTCTGTCTGTCAGGTAGTTCTCAATCCATTTGAGCACATTACCATCGACGCCGATGACTTTCAGTTTAGCGATTAGCCTGCTGTGCCATACTCGGTCAAAGGCTCTGCTTATATCCAGGCATATCAGCCTGCTTTCCTGTCTCTTGTCCTTAGCGTCATGTAGGTGTTGGGTGACGTATGTCAGTGCATCTGCTGTGGAGTGGCCAGCCCTGAATCCAAACTGTTTGTCGCTTAAGAGTATGTTCTTGTTAATGTGCTTCCACAGTGCCTTGTTTATTATTGATTCCATCACTTTGCTTATTATGCAGAGGAGCAAGATTGGTCTGTAGTTGTTTGGATCATGTTTGTTGTTCTTCTTGTGCCCTGGGATTACGTGGGCAACTTTCCACTGCTTTGGCATGTAGTGATTTTCCATCAGCAGCCGAAATAGCTTGGCTAGCGGTTTACACAGCTCTGGTGCAACATGTTTCAAGACTCTGGCAGGTATTGTGTCGGGAACAGTGGCCTTACTGATGTCGAGCTTTGCCAAGACCTTGCGCACCTGTTTCGGCCAGAATACTATTTTCGTCAGATTGGAAGTAGTTCTACGCTCAGTATGTGGGACATCTTTGTCGTTCTCGTCTTGGGGAATGGTGGATTTCTCTGCAAAGATATTTGCGAAACACTCTGCTTTCTCCTCGGCTTGGATGTATGATTGGTTTTCTGAGCTCAGGAGAGGGATGTCACTTTTGTCTCCTTGACCCATAAGTCTCTTAGCGGTCCACCACCAGCTCTTGCTGCCCTTTTTGAGGCCTGTGGTCATGTTCTCTTTTACTCTCTTTTTGTGTTTATTTATTCTAGTGACGTATGTGTAACCGTTTCTAGATTGGTTGTATCTGGACCGAGTGTCCGGCGTTTTTCTTTTCTTTATTTCTTTATTTCAGGCATAACTCGCCCAGTTTTGTTAGCTTTGTACTGACGCCAGGTTTTGTGTTTGTTTTGCAGGGCCTTTTCGCATGATTCGTTGTACCATTCCGGTTTTCCAGTGAAGCTACGTAATGTCTTTTTTGGTATGTGGTGTACCATGGCCTGTTGTATTGTTCTTGTAACGTTGGTGCACGAGAGCTCTGGGTTGTCAGGGTCCAACATGGTGTCCCACTTTGCCTGTGCAAGTTCTACCCGGAGAGTGTCCCAATCAGCTTTCTGGTATATCCAGATTTTCCTTGGAGTGCTTTTCTCCTTGACCGGAGAACAAGATATTGAAGTGCTGAGCAGATAGTGGTCAGATTTGCCAATTTCAAGGTCAATGCGGACTTCTGTGCAGAGGCTCACTCAATATGAGGTCGAGTCTATTTCCTTTACGGTGGGTGACCCCGTTTACTAGCTGTGATAGACCGCGAGCGGTACAGAGAGTGAGCGTGTGCCTACCAGGGGGGTCAGTTTTCTTGCTTAGCAGCCATTCATTGTGATGGGCGTTGTAGTCCCCAGTCAACAGCGTACCCGTGGCTTTTGTTTTTGTTTGGAGGTAGTCTAAGTTTTCCGTGTACATGTCTATGGGAGCACAATCTGCAACCCTTTGTCCAGGTGGTCTGGATAGGAGAGACATCAGAAGAACGCCTAAGTCTAATTTGATGGTGAATATCATCATTTCGAGCTCAGAGGGCTCCAAGTCATGTCTTCTGTGTAGTCCGATACCACCTTTGTAGTAGATTAGGCAGCCGCCCCAATCTTTCCCAGTGTTACGATCCCTGCCTTCTATTGAATACCCATCAATGCTGATATCAGGGCTATTGTCTGGTATTGATGCATCTAGCTTAGATTCAGTTACCATGATCATGTCAGGTTTGAGGTTGGCATTTGCTAGGCGAACATTTAAGTAATCCTTTTTAGCTCCGACGCCTTGGATGTTGGTATACCACAGTTCCAGTCTTTTTGTCTGTTTGGAATGGCTTTCTTTTTAGCAGAATGGTCCATTTGCCTCTTTCTGTTCACCGTTTCCTGTGTCACAGTCGATGGAAGGGGGGTAGCCGTAAGCGTGGCTACTTTACGGGTTAAATTTGGCCCCCTCTGCATCCTCTTGCCATATCTGCCGTATCTGTTTATGCCATAATCTTTTATGAGTTGTCTCACAGGACCCCAAAAGGACCCTCACAGGACCCCAAAAGAAAATCAGATATAGAAATTTTTAGAACTGGGGGAAACTGATTTTTTTCACTGTATTGAGGGACAACTTTGTGGGTTATAATTACCTGAAATTTCAGAAAAAAATCTTTAGAAAGCAAAAAAAAAACATTACAGAATATATAGTACTGGGGTCCGCGCGGACGCCAGGTGTACTGTTTAGGGTTAAATCATTTCAACCGGCCACTTAGGTCCACTCTCCCGCGTTTCTACCGCCCACTTAGGTCCGGGAATGACCCCAGAAAGGCAGCCAAACAGAGGCGCCGTGGTTGCCCGCATCTGCGTCAAGTGCCCCCCCCCCCTTCCTACTCAAGTTCCGGCTGGTCACAACGTACCCTTTTTAGTCGTTGGCAATAGAAATGATGTGTTTATAACAATACTTACGTCTGCCATTGACTCGAATTCCCCCAATACTTGACAACTGTTCATCCATATTGATGTCTCTACCGGTAAAAAAGATAATGTAAGAAATACGTTGCTAGACTGATTTTGGAACGAGCTGTTAGCTTACTAATAGACAAAAATCACATAAAAGAACTAAACTTATACTTTTTAATAACACAATTTTTTACACAAGAAATTGAACGATGTTCCAGTGATATTGAACACATTTACTTGACATTGGTGTATTGGTCTTTACCATTATTGCTTAATTCGTATTACCTTAAAAGCAGTTTCCGTTCATCTAAGTTGACCAAATGGTTTTGCAGCGACGAAGTTTTCATACGGTCTCGGTGGCAATCCGCAATACTGTCACAGCGACTCAGGGTCGGACGTTGGCAGTAGAAAGTTGCATTGATGAATGGCTTAGAAAAGTCACACACATCACGTAGATTCATGCTTCTATTGGCAGTGTTAGAGCAAGGCATCCACTCAGTCATATTCCTGCCTTCATCAGAAAAGCCGCACGCCATTATCCGCCTGGTATTGTCTCGAATTTTTGTAAGAACCTGCACAGCCTCACTTGAATGTATCATTTGGACTGAAACTGAGAGATTCCCTGGCCAACTAAGAAAGAATCTTGCGACATAAGTCCCATTCCCGTAGTCTGTGATCCGTCCAGCAGTGCTAGCATTTACAGGGACTCTGCTGAACAGCTTGGCCCGAAGAAAATCCCCTCCGTAGATCTTCGGTCGGTCTTTTGTATCTCTGGCGACGATCTTGACGGAGAGAGTATCCCCTACGTAAAACACTCGTTTAGGATTCACCACACTAATGACCAAACGTTTACCTATCGTGACCCTATCGAAGTTGATAGAGTCATTCCGATTAACCCCTTGGAGATGTTTCTGCTGTTTCCAAATAAAGTTGACATTGGCAATTTCCGGATTCCCTTTTTTTCTAGAATAGTTTGAAAGCTGCAAAAGAAATTAAGGTTAAACATAAATGAAAGTCTGTGTAATTCCAAAGAATTTTCATTATGATTTACATGTAGTTCAGGACTGTTGATTCCCGAACCGTGAGTTATCCAGAACTGTTCTGGTGACTTCAAGATAAACACGGAAGCGGGTTTGGAAACTGACGAAAGATACCATTCATAAGCATAAGAAATTAAGGGGGGAGGGGCTCATTCGCCCCACCCCCCTCAGAACTCATGAACAGTGTATCGCATCGTATACCACTATATTTTTAGAGGGTGATGTACCCGTGAAAATTAATCATAACAGCTTTCTGACAGTACTGTATTTTATTGTGAATAAATCATTAAAAAACACAAAAAAATATAAATATAATTTCAACAGAAAAAAAAAAAACACAATTCTTGGCACCCCACTAAAGGTGGTACTGTTTTATTGTCACGTGGTTACCGCAGATGATTGCCTAGATGATCTTTTTTTACCATCTTGTTTCACGTAACATAGAATGCGATTTTTTTCGGCGATGGAGGTATTTTATAAAGGAATTTGTGTCAAAAAAGGATAGGCCATTTTGTAATAACATTAATAATATTGTTTTATTTTAACCCTAAACAGTACACCTGGGGTCCGCGCGGACCCCAGCACTATATATTCTGTAATATCTTTTTTGTTTCTAAAGATTTTTTTCTGAAATTTTTAGGTAATTGTCACCCACAAAGTTGTCTCTCAATACAGTGCAGAAAATTTCGTTTCTATCATTTCAAAAAAAAATTATATCTGATTTTCTTTTGGGGTCCGCGCGGACCCCAGCCGCTTTCGATCATAATGGATACACTGGAATTCTTATACATTACCTTTCCGTTTTTATATGTTTTTATGCACTCATCGTATGTCTACCAAGTTTTCAGAGAATGGTGTAGTAATAGAATTAAATTTTAATAACTTTGGTGTAATCATGACGTCATATGACGTCAGAGCTAATAATATAGTCCGCCATATTGGATTTTGACCAATGACGTCATCAAGTTAGCATATTCTATGCATATTAAATGATTTAACTTATATTTGATTATGTAAGATGTTATCAATGTTGGAAAAGAAGCGTTATTTAATTTTATGTTTAAACCAAAATCACTTCTATTTTCAAAAAAACTTCCTGCTAGAAACCCGTTGCTATGGCAACACAAAAAAACATCAACTTACTAGTATTAAACTAATATGAACTTTTTTCCAGAGACATTTTAGGAAAGGTCTCCAAATTTCATACTTCTAGCGCAAGCCGTTTAGCCGCTATCTGAGATCAAAGTTGGGCCTCAAAAGCCCCTTCAGTCTGAAATGGGTTTAAAAATCGGGTATTTCTTCTTGTCGTCTTTTCTTCACCAAAAAATAGAAAAAGTTAAAAATGTATGATTTTTGTATGTAATGCGGACACAGAGGTTCCCACATCAGTTTGCAAAACAATTTAGCTGGTAGCATGTTGATAATTTCTAAAAATTAGCGAAAAACTGTTCTGGGCTCCGCGCGGACCCCAGGTGCACAGATTAATCAGTCCGGGAAGGTGTTCTGTTGAGGGTTAATGGGTATGTTATCTATCGGTCACAAATTGACCACAGGCCCCTGACCACTTGCAGGTCACAAAACCAGACCAGACAAAGAAAATATATTGCTTAGACACATTGAACACTGGGTAAAAGCAGCCACTTAAGGATCAGTGAGTCAACTATAATCCTAGGGAGAAATTCTAAAAGAAACAAGTATTATTTTTCTCAATTAAAGTAGAATAGTAGGGCATATATCTCCTACTAAAGGAGGAGCTCTACGGTAACATTCCAGCAGTGTCAGACTTAATCAGACAGTGGAGGACAAGATTTGCAGGACATGTCTACAGGAACAAGATCAAACTAGGTAGTCAACCGGTCATTTGGGAGCCTAAACAAGGACATGCTAAACCTGGGCGTCCTTGCATGACGTATATAGACCAGCTTGCTGCTGATGTTGGACTAAAAGAGAACCAGGCGAGTGTCATGTTGGATAAAGCGGACTGGAGGAAGAGAGCCTGGGACCGGGAACTCCCGACCTGATGATGACGATATCTTTCTAAAATATATTGTAATTTGAAAGAGATAGATGCCTACAAACCAGAAACATTACTATACCAGAATGAAAAAAGTGACCTAATGAGATGCATCGGCCAGGTTGGTCCCACCCCCTATGAAATTCCTAATAAAAATGGCATCAAGGTGGTATTTATAATTGTTTGGATTTCAGGAAAACATTTTGACCACTTGAGGGCCTCACTGCAGTAATATTTTGAGGTTTTAATTAACTTAGCAAAAGCCATAACAATGAGAGGGAATGCAATGCTTATTATTGTCCATGCGATTTTAATATGATGCATGCCCAATAAGAATGTTTATATTCTTTCAGTTACTGAATTTTTCCTTCATTTCACATCATTATTCATAGTAGATACAAAAGTTAATGATTTTTTGGATGATGGAAAAAAATTAGTAATTTTTATTTGAACATTAAAATTTTCAGGGTTTTATTTTAAATAACACTTCCTTTTTGACATTACTAACATCTTACATAATGAAAGATAAGTTAAATCATTAAATATACATAATATATGCTAATCTAATGACGCCATTGGTCAAAATCCAAGATGGCGGACCATATTACTAGCTCTGACGTCATAATTACACTAAAATTATTGAAATTTAATTCTATTAGTACACCATTCTCTGGAAATTTGGTGGCCATACGATAAGTGCATAAAAAACGGAAATGAAGTAATGTATAAGAACGCCAGTGTATCCATTACGAAAGCCGGCTGGGGTCTGCGCGGACCCCAAAAGAAAATCAGATATAAAAATTTAAAAAAAAATGGAGGAAACTGAGTTTTCTGCACTGTATTGAGGGACAACTTTGTGGGTGACAATTACCTGAAATTTCAGAAAAAAAATCTTTGGAAAAAAGAAAAATATTACAGAATATATAGTGTTGGGGTCCGCGCGGACCCCAGGTGTACTGTTTAGGGTTAAGTCTGTAATGCAATTGTATGTGATGTCGTCTTTAATAAATCATCATAGTTTGGTAAGACAAAACTAACAAGTCTTATTAGCAAAACCAAATTCAGAATTGGTAATGCAAACTGATGAATATTAACTTCCAAAGAGATACCTAGCAAGATTAATCTTTTGGTACTAAATAAACGAGCAAAGTTATTGCTTCCCTGGTTAGCCAAATTCAATCAATTATTCGTAACCATTATACATATATTGGTATTAATAGGCAAGGATATTACCAGCCAGATATTACGGTGGTAAAATCGTGATCAACTGCAGCAAGACGGAATCCAAGTGTCGGTGGCAGAATCTCCGATATAAATCTATCCCGGTATAAAATGGTGTATTTTTTCTCGGTATGCTCATTATATAAATGTCAAACCGGCGGTTTCGAAGAAATTGTGACTGTTTCTCCAAAATTAGTCAATTTCTCACCCTAAAATGTTGATTCTCACATATTAATTCCCTTTCGGTAAAACAGACAATAAAGATGGTAATACTGTAGACGAAAGGTTTGCTATGTTCTTGAACATATTCTATGGTTTTAACCCTATCTAGACCGGGCTTTTTTGGGCTTGGTGGGACCGGGGGCTCATTCGCCCCCCCTCAGAACTCGCGAACTGTATATCGTAGGACCGACAAATTTTTGAGGACGGTGTACCAGTAAAAATTTATCATACGTACAAATTTTATGTCGTTGTGACGTAATATGACGTCATTATGACGTCATTAATGTGATTTTATTGGTCAAAACCGTCTAGATAGGTTATTCCCTTGAAACTAAACAGTATACGACATAACTTTACCAAAACTGTTTATGACAGAATATTAGGATGTACTAAGTCTTATGTTGCCCATAGCAACACCGGTGACGTCATAAAATGACGTCATGCAAATATTACCTCTCCGCCATCTTGGATCATCATTCTTGAATTAAAAAAATTGTTTTTTTAAGGATAATGCCTAAAATACATTGTAAACAGACTAAAGACGTTCATATGAACCTTTTTTGTAAAAAGAAATGGGAGTATTGATGAACTTTTATGGAAAATAAGTTGTATTTACCTGATCTAATGATATGGTCCACCATCTTGGATTTTGGCCATTGACGTCATCAAATAAGCATAAATTATGCATTTTAATGAACAAATTTACATATAATAATATGTAATGTTATTAATATTAGAAACAATGTGTAACTTGGCATAAAACCCATGAATTCTGTTGTTTAAATGGAAATTATTAAATTTGGCAAAAAATGCCTGTCAGAAACCCGTCGCCATGGCAACAATAAAAATCATAATCTTATTCCACTGATACAGATTTGTTGCCAATAATATTTTAGGAAAAGTCACCAAGTTTGGCGTTTCTAGCTCTAGTTGTTCAGACGCTATGTGACATCAAAATTGCCGCGGCCCTTTTAGCCCCCTCCCCCCCGGTCTAGATAGGGTTAAAAATAGAACCTTTCGGCTAAACTAATAATAAAGAAAAATAAGGGAAATAATTACCTTGCTATAAATCAGGATGTACACAAGGCCGCCAACACAAAACAAGAACGAAGCCGATGTCACGGGGATGTTCGTTGACTTCATTTCAATCAATCTAATTTCAATTTAAAAACTCGTTTGACAGTAAGGGGTGTCAAGATTGTGCGATTTATAAGTTTGTCTTCCCATCATAGACAGCTTGGTTGGGGGGAGCCATTCCTGGAACTCTGGATTCAACTTGCAAACGCTCTTCAGATGTGGACCTGTCGGTCTGATAGATTCAATGACTCCATTGCTGAATCATAGTTGTAGTAGAGAGGACCCAACATGATCTTGCAGGCCCTCTTTTGGACACGTTCTAGGCTTGTGACTTGTTGCATAGTCAGAGACGAGTGCCATACTGGTGCCGCGTACTCAAGGGCTGGTCGAAAGGCTTTACTGCTTACGACTCAAGGGCTGGTTGTAAGCGGTAAAGACGGTTGTCAGGTCAGTAGATGATAGTCCAAAACGTTTGAGTCTGCGCAGTAGGTAAACTTTCCTGTTGGCACCTGAGATTATCTTTCCAACATGCGAGACAACATTGTTTACTAAGGCCACACCGACTAAATTTTATTGATGACATCCTTTGAAGATCTCGAAACTAGTGCGCGCGGGTGAATAAAAAATCCTGGCCAATAATAAAAATACCACTAAACCACAGGAGTACAAAGCCGGTCTTGTTAATTTGCGGCAGTACATAGCGACATATACGACAGGCTGGCACATACTGGCTTTTTGCGGAATTTATGAATCAGCACTCTACGTATCTACTGGCTTCTTGAGTCGTAGAGATTTGGTAGCCTGGGTGCCTGATTCCGTATTGTCGCTGATTTCCATGAACTACCCGGGACAAGAGCCAGTCTAGAGCCTCAGTGGACATGATCCTTTTTTAGAACAGGCGAAAATCAATGCGCTGGTGGATGTCATCCATAAAATTAAGTCGGTCTAGCCTTACGAATATAAGCCCTGCTGCCTCTAAGTCAGTGCGATGTACTTTTGCATTTGAAATAAATAAATGAATATGCATACATACTTATAAACTTTATCAAAAACATACCCTTCTAAGTGAAGGTAAAAACTAAATGGCACGGATTCCCAGTACTGTACAGTGTAGACAGGGCACCACGTGTAAACAGAGCGCTATCTATCAAATGGCATACACATGTACTGGCCTGGCCTGGATTAATACAGTAATTGACGCAGCCTTAAGTGTCAGTAACCTCCGCCTACCCGACCAGTCGTCTGCATTATGTGCTTCTGAATTGACTCAGTTTGTAATGTAAAGACGTGCTGGATACCTGTACTGACTATGTATACGCTGCTAGGCTATAAACATTTCACGAAAGTTCAATGCGTTTTCCTCGCCGTGTTACAAACGGTTGTTCTGGTTGCTTTCTACGTATATTCTGTTGACAAGTTTACAAATGCTGAAACTTTTTTCGTACAAGAAAGGAGAAGAAAGCAGCAAGTAGACAAGATGCGTGTTCTTATCTGTAATCATGCTAGAGTGTTTAAGTGTCTTCTGATAAAAACGTCTTTGTATGGCAAACGTGTATCGAACCACTTAAAGTATTTAGCCTTAATCTAATTTTTGTCTACGTAATCAGAAAGTTGACAATGGTAAAATTGTGAAATACTATGTCATTTTGTCTGCCAGTGTATAGATCGCGATCAATATCTTCATATGGAAATTGAACAATCAGAAAGGCGGTTACGGCTGGCAAATTAAGTATTGCCAACAGAACCCAGCCTTAATCACGGTATGTTATTCCGTTGTATATTTACGATGTAACATATAGTAACAATTCCATTGTAAGACAGTTGACACATAATGTTAATCATAGTATCACTATTCTATGACAAAATAAATGCCATTCAAAATGACGTGTAAAATCGGGTAAATGTGGGGGGTTTCTATAATCTAGCTTTTAAAAATGGTTGACTTGAAAAAAAAGCACAGTAGTTATTAATGTGATTTTCTTGGCCAAAACCGTCTAGATACTAGTACCATAGGTTATTCCCTAAAAATTAAATGGTATACAACATAATTTTACACAACATAATTTTACCAAAAGTGTTTATGACAGAATTTTAGGGTGTGCTAAGTCTTATGTTGCCCATAGCAACACTGGTAACGTCATAAAATGACGTAATGCATATTTAACCCTACCTATAACTAGACCGGGGGCGGGCTAAAAGTGCCCGCGCCAACTTTGATGTCACGTAGCGTCTGAACAGCTAGTGCTAGAACGGCAAAACTTGGTGACTTTTCCTAGAATATTGTTGGCAACACTTCTATATCATAGGAATAAGATAATAATTTTTTGTGTTGCCATGGCAACGGGTTTCACCCTCAGCAAACGACACCTTCTTCGACATTATCTATTTAAACACATCTTCTTAGAGTCACAAATCATACACAGCCTGTAAAATTTATTCTGTGTGACTAACCTGGCTAAGTAGTAAGGCCACAGACAACGCCGGGCGTCACCTAAAAAATATTCTTCTGGACTATGGACTAGAACAAGTGATTCACGAGCCCACTAGGGATGGAAACTTGCTGGATCTGATCATCACTTGCCACCCAGCGATTTGCAACCGAACTAGCACCATGGCACCCCTCGGGGACTCGGATTATCTAACTACTTTTGTAACACTGAACCTCAAGGCTACTCGGCCCTTAGCCTTTGTAACCCAAGCTCCGGGGGGCTCCCTACATAGTCCGCCACCCAAGAACTTGTGCGCCACTCTCTCTAAGGCCGGGGAGCCGTTAGCGAAAGTTGTAACACCAATCACAGGGTAGGAATTTAGTCGAGCCCCCGTTACCATGGAAATTCGCTAGTTGGCGATGTCACTGCTGGCGCCGCGGCCCAGACGGTGGGCGGAGCGCGGGCGGGATGACAAATGTTATCTTGTTGGTTGTTTATTTCGAGGAAAAATGGCGGCTTCTTCCACAGTCGAAGGTGAGTTTCGGCCCCTCCTTGAGTCTGTTTGCAAGGATTTTGGTCGGCCTTGGCCTCTGAAGCCACTTCAAGAGAAGGCGGTGACGTACTTTGCCTGCTTGCCCACGGCCCATGGCTACGGCAAGACGGAACTTTACACGCTGGTCCCTCTTGTCATGGAAAGATTGCTGGGGAAACACTGTGTGATGCTGGTAGTGTCTCCGTTGCTGTCGCTAATGCAGGATCAAGTACAACGCCTGCAGCAGGGAGGGATCAAAGCTGCCTATGTCGGCGAGACGCAGGAAGATGCTGATATCAAGAGAGGAGTAATTAAGGGGAAATATAGCCTGGTTTTCGTATCGCCAGAGGCGATTCTGAACTCTAAAAGTTGGAGAGGGATGTTGAAAACAAGACTTACCGCGAACATCTTGTTGGTGTTGCCGTCGACGAGGCTCACTGCATAACGTCTTGGTATGGTACTTTGCATTTCAAGGCATGACTAAAATTCTGCAATGGCTTTTTTAAATACAGTTTCGTGGGGCTGTGTAAGAAAACGACATGCATGTGCATGTATACTATATAATAAATGCGTGTCCACGCGAAAGGGGAGGGGGGGCTGGTATAATCGTGTCTATGCGGGAGTGCTGCGTGTGTTAGTAAATAAATAAGATTTTGTTGTTAATGTGACAGTAAAGTAGTATCTATGCCTAAAATAGTAGGCAACGTAATAAGCATGGATGCTGTACATATGAAAGTTACGAGACTCATGCCAAGCCGGTGTAACGTTTTTTTTTCACATCATGGACATTTGGTAGCACACCAACACTTTGATGTCAAAAGTTTATAGTTTGGCTACTAAAGACCATATGAAACGTTGTGCCATATTCCTTACATAGCTAACAGTGTTACTGTAAGGATACAATATACACCCCCACAAACTATTGGACCAGTCCGGTCAGAGGTCACGGACTGCACATGTTCTGACAAGAATACATTTCATATCCCAGCACTTCTCGCATCATCATTCCTGGAGTGATTACTTATAAGTTCCAATATCTTCACCAACTGGACACTTATATTGGTGGCAGCGGTGTCTGGCTTCGAACTCCCGCCAGCTCTGTCTTGTGGATCGCATTTGGAGCACATTGCCGACCGACGTTCGAGCGCCCCCCTCCCCCACCTGGTTGACTCGTGTCTACCCTGCTCTACCAAGACTCCAGGTATGGCTAACCTCCATCCGTTTACGCTAGAAGACGATGAGGAAATTACCTTTCCACGGCTGCGACCACTGTTGTCACCTTCAGAAATTTCCCCCATTCAATCCCGTGGCGCATCCGGTGTCCGAACTGCAACCACCCTCCCAGGCGCCCTCCCACGTACAACACCACAGGTGGGTCCCACACCACTGTACAATCAGTATGCTCAGTCTGCTTACGCTACAGGATCTTTTCCTGGTAGGGGTACCGTGCCCACAGCCACGTCTGTTGCTGAATCCAACACTCATGGGACCAGCCCTGCCGGGGCTTCTTACCACCAGGCTCCACCCCCTGCCATGACTCAGGACACCACCAACCAGCAACCCTCGTCAGACCTCCGCCTCAAGACAAGACTGCCACCCACATTTAACG